ACCTATATTTTTCTTTATTTTAAGGTAAGACAAGTAATACATCATGTATTTTGTATAATAAAAATATAAAATACTTATAATTCTACCTGTTACAAAACATCAATATATAAAACAAATGACTGTAATCAGCATTTTTCTTTTTATTGTTAAACATGAAAAATGAGAGTTATTTTGTGTGCCATTATATGCTTAGCCATACTTAAGTGTGCTTTTTAAATGGGACAAATACTAAATCTGCCTTCAAGGTGTTTAATAATACAAATTAGTAATATATTCCATTTGTAATTTAAATATCATTATGATACTAAAAAAAAAAAGTACATGTGGAAAAAAAGTCAACGCTTTAGATTGCAAAAGTATCATCCCAAAAGGTGAATTACATACTAGACAGTTCTACTGATTATAGAATAATTATACGCAATAAATACTGACTGAATTATGTCTATATGTTTGACAATCCAAACTATGAGTATCTGCATGACATATTCTTTTTCTATTCTCCAGCATTTGGAAACAGGCAAATCACAGTATCTGCTATCAATTTTCTGGTATGTATCACATATATATTTTGCTATTCATGCTCTAATTTTGTTATTATTAAGAAGAAAAACAGACTGTATCTGAGGATTTGCCATGTAGAAAATACGATATATATTTATATAATATACGTAATGATATAAAATGAAGTAGATAAAATGACTTTCTATAATCAAGTATTTAGCTCTCCAAATTTTATAATCAAAATGTTGTAGTCATCTGTAATGTTTGATTAGTATTATTTGAAATATAATAAATATTTGAAAAATATATATTCAGTGATCCTACTGTATGCACATTTACCAACCTATAAAGAGCAAAAATTGTTTGCAAATCTTACAGATAAACACCTCAAAAACACTTTGGCATAATTGTTAATTTAACTAAATCAAGATGAACACAGAGTTTGCCTTTTTAATAAAACTTGGCCCTTTCTAAACTGTTCTCATTCAATTTCTTTAGATTGTTCTATGTAAATAAACATGTATATAGATAAAATTGTGTGAAAATCAATCTGGATACCCAAGACTCTTGATTATTTCTAAAATGAATTAATTATTTCATCTGACACTTTTTTTTAATGCTTATATGCTCTATAACTCCTTGCTTTCATTCTGTGTTCATGTTCTCCTTTCATCCCTGTCATTGATAAATTAGTGAACTCCTATAATTCATCTCCGAATTCATATTTCTTGCAAAGTTTGTGTTCAACAACTTATTTCTAACCATTTTATACAGGTCATAAATCACCCACCACACTTTGTAAGGAGTTCTCACATGACCCTCTCTTGCTTTCTCTCTCTCTACATATCTTTAGTTAATAGTTTAAGTAAGTATGTACTCCAGTGTGTTGGCTTTGAAAAGGACAGATCTTGTTTTTGTCTTTTCAGCATATAGTTTGGCATAGCAGGAACTCATTATTTGTTTGAATAAATGGCACAGAGTATTTATGTATTTGGAATTTCTTCAACAATATGTTGAAAATATATCACAGCCTTGTAATTTTCCAATAGTGCATACTGTTCAAGGAGAGGAATTCTGTGGTTCATGTGTTGTTACAGCGTTATGCAATGTTGTATACAGTGTACTACAACCCCTCTTGTATTAAGACTAATGTTCTGATATTAACTACTCAGTAAATCTGATGGAAGAGAAGAATAAATTTATGGATAAAAAAATAACTGCCTATTTGTTGGTAATTTTAGTATGTTTTAGATTAATATCTGATTATTCCTCTGCTTTTTATCTTTATGATGTTGTCCACTTTTTCAAAAAAAATGTGGGTTATAATTTTTTCTGTGTAATTAAGACAACTCCCTTTTCATATAATATTATTGATTTCTTCCCTTTTCTCCAATATAATATGGCTATGTATGTATTTATTCCCTCTTCTCAAATGTGAATGGCTATACTATAAAATAAAACTTTTAATGAAAGTCATATCTTTTATTAAAAAGTTATGTTATACACGTTATAATATTTTTCTTAAAATATTGAGACATAATTAGACATAAGCAAAATTCTAATTGCTTGCAATTATACTTTTTTTTCCCCAGAGACTCAAAATTTCTGCCTTCTTATTAAGCTACTGCTTTTTCCTCTTCACATAGCACTTTATTAATCAAGTATATTTCATACAGCCTCAGACAAAAATTAATAAAGCCCAAGATGCTAAATTAAACAAACACTGATAGATGGTGTAATAGACTATGTCCAATAGAGATGAAGTAGGTAAATGTGATACTTTAATTCCACATTTAAGCATGTAACAAGCATTGTCTATTTCAATAACAGATTTAACAATTTGATAAACTTTAAATTTCTATAATCTTTAGATTTAAATATTTTTTTAAATGGAAAGTAATATAATTAAAACCTGTGCTTTAATTATAGATAGTATAATATTAAGTATAGGTGAAAACTTCACTTAAAAATGAAAATATTGAATGTAGTTACATTCCATAGAAAAGCAAAATTTAGAAATAAGATAGAATGGCCACTGTGACTTTTTTACACACATGAGTTGTCATGAGAAATCAAGAAGACTTGTTAGTCCTGAAATTTCTTAGTAGTGTTTACTGTTAAGACATATTTAACTTTCACAAATAATATATGATATTAAGATATTAGAGTTAGGAAACTGAATCTAATATAAGACTTATGAGATTCATATTAAGCAAAATATATTGTAAGGAAAACAAAATAATTCACAATGTGTACATAATATGTTGTAAAATCAGGCTCCTATTTTGTGGAAAATTCTTCGATTTTGGTGAGGTTTTTTTCTCTCTCTATTATATTCAAAGAAATAGTCTATCACTTCTCCCTTGGTTTAAATTATTTCTAACTTTCAACACAAGTTTGATTCCTCAGATACGTCCAGGTATGACAAATCTACAGGAAAAATTAAGGAGAATCAAATACAGGCAAATTTATGAAGGCATCAGAATAACTTTTCACACAAATTTTAGATGCAATCTTGTTTGTCTGATGTAAATATTGTGAATACATTTTATAATTTGATCTCTTTATATTTCCATGACTCTGCCTCATCCTCTGAACCCAATTACACCCAAAAGCCAACAAACAAAAATAACAAAATCACAATTGCAAAACAAAATGTACTTTATAGAAAGAACCTGCCTTTTTTCTTTATCTTCTTGTCCCCTTAACCTTATGTTTACTCTCCAGAAGCTGTTAAAGTTTGTCTATTCTTTGCAGAATGAGGATTTTACCAAAAACGAACTCCTTTTCTTCCCTTTCTTAATGTCTTCAAAATGAAGGAAGTAGGAGGAATTGATAATAAAATATAAGACATGGCTTACAAAGTAATTAAAATAACTCTTTTCCCTGGTTTTGCCTCTGTGTCTTCAGTGTTCTCATTAGTTATTCAGTCACTTACGTGTTTTAAAATTATTCCTAAAATGCAAATAATCTTGGAGAAGAAAAAAATATGCTTTTATCAAGTAGGTACACCTCTTTTTGTAATATTTAGCTGAAAAGAACCTCGGGTACAAAACTGGTCATTGATTAGTGGAGAGGATGCTGGGAACAACTTATCATAGCTTTTAAAACAGGAGAGCAAGCCTTTACTATATAAACCACACAAAGGCCAAGAAACTGCTCATGAAGTTTGGCGTTTATGGATAAGATACATGAAAAAAAAAGGGTGCCAAAGTTCAGTGCTTTCATTCTCAGCAGTCTACTGAGATTTGGTTGTGATACATTTTCTGATCACTTACCTACCATTGAT